TGATTACGCAGAAGACACCTAAAGGACACGCAGTGGAGGAAACCATTTCGGTTTTTCCACCGTGGGTAAGGTATCTTTCCACTCAGGGATGCTGCGTGCGGCCCGACTGCCGAGCAGCCGCCTTCAGACCCTGCTTCAGCCCCAGGCAGAGGAGCAGGACCCGCGGCGGTGGCTCTGGCAGCACGGCCACGCGGCAGCCAGGTCCCCCACCATGCCCGTGGTCCCCAGCCCACGCTATTTCCTTGAGGTCTCCTCCTCAGGCACCGGGGCTCCAGGCACTGCTGCCGTGGCTCACAACCACGAGCCTCTGCTCCCCACCACCACGTGCAGAAGCGCCCTCTGAGGAGCATGTGAAAATTCAGAGCGGGCTTTCCTGCATTCCTACGACACGTGGGACAGCAGCTTGGGAGAGAAGCCAGGTCACCAGCGCAGCCACAACTGTTGTGCATCAACCAACAGCTCAGTCTCCCCCACCACAAAGCACGAGGAGCCGTTTCACCCACACGTCGATTACAGCTGTACGTACCTTTTTAAGAGGAACTGTGCTTCTGAACCAGTTATAGTCAGGAGAGACTTTAATCTCTCCCATGATGTTTAGAAAAAACGCAGTTTTAGGTCAGCCTGAAAAAAAAAAAAAAGAGAGAGACAAAGTTGGAAATCAATGCAACAGCTTTACCGCAGGCAGCACTCAGAAGCCGTGCCCTGTACTTCAAGCATTTGCAGGGCGAGCTTGCTCTTATCAGCTGATTGTACTATCTCTGACTCACGCCAAGTTTACTTATCCTCAGTTTTCATCACAAACCATTTAATTATTCTCCCAAGAGGCAGTCACCTGACTGCCTCACTGTACCAGCCTTATTGTGAAATGATGACACTTTTGTAACAGCCAAAAAGTGTAGCAGTTGTAGCGAAAGACAACCGTGTGGCAGGCTGCAAGCGGCTTAAAAAGCTAAAGCACGTTTTCAGTTTATAAAGCACTCCAAATTTACATCTAATAAATATTCACACAATTCACTCTGCAGTTCACACAACAGACTTACATTATTTCACGAACCTACTGCCTAAATATTCAGACCACGTTCTTCCATCTCAGTATAACTGACCCCAAGGAGTCCCATCGGGAGTATCTGATGCTTAATTTACAGGAGAGCTGTGAAGTTTTAATTCTATCCACACAGAAGCTCACTCTTGCCAGGAGTTACCGACAAGGGTATCTTTGAAGCACACCAGTTCCTACAGAACAAGTTGCTTCAGAGTTGGGTCCAAACAGGAACGCCACTAATCCACTCTGAAGTCGGAATGTCCTAGCATACATAATGAAAGTGTCTTATAATAGTCCATTAATTTGTAATATACACTTAGATAACTTCCAGATTTAATTTTTTTTGAAAGCAGCGAGACACCATTAACTTCCAGTTATACAACAGAAGGTATCAAACAGGTTTGGAGCTTGCAGACTCAATAGCTTTACCCGGAAAGCCAACGGCCTCAGGAGATTATTTTCATGCATTTACACGCAGCACTGAGCATAATAAAACAAAGCAACTTTTGCTCTTGTTTCTTAACAGGTGCCAAGCACAAATCAATAGGTTGTCTGTCTTAATTCTTTGTAAAATAAGACCTCAGTGTGTTCTGGGAGTCACTCCATTTCTCCCTGCAGGAAAGCTGCCGGTGTGCAGGCTTAACTAGCTTACTGGGTTACAGCTGGATTAACAGTTATGTACAATTTCCTCATCTTTCAGTCCTCATTTGCCATTTTCCAAGTACAGAAAACATGAATTTTAAAAGTGAAAGTACTTTCTAAGTTGCAAGACAACACACATCTTCCACAGAGCACATGCTACACCTCTCACGTCCAACGAGCGCTTGAGGTTGGAAACTCAGCTGCACGGCCAGTGTTTCCATTTTGTGCAGCTTCGTTTCGGTGCTTGCATTGACTATTCTGCTCTTTGCCACAGTCTGGCAGCAGGTAAGATGACAGTGGAGGTAAAAAGTACCAACTCCAACAACCTGCAAGGCAGAGCAGGCGCAAAGAACACGTTAACGGACCAAGGGGGCAGCTGGTCACCAGAGAAAGGGAACAGCAGTTCAAACTACTAATTCCTTCCCACAGCCACACAGCAACTGGTTTTCAAAAAGCCATTCAGCAAACAAAGTTATGGCAGAAATAAATTCCAGTAAATGCCTTAAAACAACATCTTCTCTTTGAGTGTTATATCACAGCAGGGCCAAGAAACACAAGGCACGGCCGGGGCCTCGAGACACGAAGCACTGCACGGAGGCGCAGGAGACTTTCCGCTGGTGAACACAAAGGGTTGGCAAGCTCTTTCCGCTGTCATCACCTCTCTTCTCCTGCCACCTCAGTCTTCCAGCACCGTTCAGCTAATTTTTGTGGGCTGGCCCATCACTCGGGAACACAAAGCTGTCTGTCATTAGGCCGGGTGAGGAACAGGCATGGATGCAGATGAACTTCGTCCTGTCAGCGCACCTTGGTCACAGCAGAGCAGGTGAAGAGTCCCCCTGAAACCTACATTTTGAGCTTCCCAGTTCACCTGTTACCACTCGTGGAAGCAAACCACTGGTCACCAGGACCTGGGCTGATTTCCTCCAGCTTCTTTCTTGTAAAGTTGCATCTGTGGCCACCACTCCTAAGGACTGCCCTTCTTTCAAAGCAAAACTAGATGATTTTTCTTTCATTACAGAATTTTTTGATGAAGTCGATGTCCTACTACTGAAATATTTTTTTTTCCTTGGCACAGAAACACGGCATTAAATTTGCACACACAAATATTCATGACAACAACATGCTCTTCCAGCCACAGAAAAGCTGAAACATGAACTCAAAACAAGTAACCAGCTACCAAAGGCAACTCAAATCACAAAGAACCTGATGCTGTTCACGGCCCAGCCTCTAAAGACCCAAGTTCCATTTTTAGTAAAACCAAACAACCTGAAGAACTCAAACCTCTTAAAAGCAATTTCTCTAAAGGAAGAATCACCTATGGGTGTGTTCAAAGCACTTGGTAATATTCTCCTTGTGAGTTATCCCCGCTCTATGTTCCATTTGTTATTGATTTAGGATGACTTTGATCCTGCCACTGGAGAGGAAACCCCTGTCAGAGTGGATCAGAGGAGCAGCGACTCGCTCCTCTCCCCTGCGCCGTGTCTGCGGGAGCCAGGGCTGCCGCGCAGCCGCTCTCCCACCACGCTGGTGCCCACTCCCACGGGCCAAGAGACCTGAATCAGCAACACCAGCACCGACAGTTAATGGGGGCTGCAGGGATGCAGGGGACGCGCCAGGGCTACGGGTGCTTTACGAAGGCCAAACACAAGCAATAAAGAAGAGTTAAAGACAACTGGGACACAGCAGCAGGCGCCTTCCCCTCTTCCTCAGCTCTGTTCCCCCAGCCCCCAGCCTCCGCTCTGTCCCCCCTCCCAAACCACAGCCGGCTCCCCCGGCTTTGCAGGGAGAAGGGGCAAAACCCCGCTCAGCATTCCCAGTCCAGGCTCTCCTCTCCGCAGCACCGGCCCCTTCCCCTAAGAGTCCCCTCGGGAAGATGACCCCCCCCC